AACTGCCTTCGCCCTGCGCTCCGGCCACACCGGAGCAACTGCCATCGCTCCGGCCACACCGGAGCAGCTGCCTTCGCTCCGGCCACACCGGAGCAACTGCCTTCGCCATTCTCTCCGGCCTTACCGGAGCAGCTACCTTCTCTCCGGCCACACCGGAGCAACTATCTTCGCTCCGCCCAAACCGGAGCAACTGCCTTCGCCCTTCGCTCCGGCCACACAGGAGTAACTGCCTTCGCCCTGCGCCCCGGCCACACCGGAGCAACTGCGTTCGCCCTTCATTCCGGCCTTACCGGAGCAGCTGCCTTCGCCCTTCGCTCCGGCCACACCGGAGCAACTGCCTTCGCCCTTCGCTCCGGCCACACCGGAGCAACTGCCATCGCTCCGGCCACACCGGAGCAGCTGCAGTCGCTCCGTTTCAAAAATACTTTTTTAGAATTACGTTAAAAGTCATTAGCTAAAAAGAGGAATTAAAGCCACGCCAAGCTGTGAATCCTTCATTTTAATTTAAAGACAGACGCTGTCTCCTACCTTCCCCTCTGGCAACCCAGCGCATGTCCCCGCCCAGTGGCTCAAAGATGAGGTTCCCTGTGGACCCCCTTGGAAAGAGCCGCTGCACAGCCTCTAGGTCTCCTGTATACAGAGCGTTCTGAACCACCACGTCTTGGCAGATTGCTGGTGGAAGAGCAGGAGCAGATCTCAGATGGTCTCTGTCCCTGGCCTCCTTCTTCCACATGTAGTTGTTGACATGCACTGAGGACACTTGCCTCCTGTACTTGTGTCTCTCTAGCATGTCCTCGTCAAGTTCAAGAGAACGCAAGGCCGTGTTTGTGAAGACAAAACTGCCTCGTGACATGCTGATTTGCCTCCTTTGACCCTGATGTGCTATGACAAAACAGACCCGTCCCCGTTGTTGTCTTTACGTCTCTGTTGTCGTTTCCTCTCCCTCTGGCTGATGTTCAGGTCTGCTGTTCCAAGACTTGCTATAGAGACGGAGCTGTTTTGATATTTGGTATGAGGCCCTCCCTGCAGTGTGACAACTACTGCTATTTTTGTGCCTCACATGCAGCCACTCGAGCCTCTTGTATTTGCCCCTGGCCCAGTTACAGCCGTGAAGTGTGTCTGTGAGACTGCAACATACAAATGAGACAAATGAGATGGATAATCTTATGTTTTGTAACTACATTATTATATATATATATATTTTTTTTAAAAACAAAACTTTTTTTCATATTGAACTATTATGGAAACATTTTAGCACGGTCTTACTGTGTGTTAATTTTTTACTTTGATGTTAGTCTCTGAGGGAGGACAAATCAACCTGGCCTATTTGTGAGTCTATCATTATGTGTTATCAAATATCATTTTCTACACTGCTTTTTTCCTTTTCTCAATTTGTTTTTCAAGAGCCTTAATGGATTTTATGTATCCACAGGACTCCCTGCTTCTGAACATTAGACAGAATGACTGGCAACTGCTGTTCACTCTGCCCCACATGTACAGTACTGATGGAGGAGGGACAGTGTATAATTAAGCCTCCTCAGCCATATACTTACATGGATTTCAAAAACACCTCTTTGAACTAATAGTGCTCAATTTTTATGTTAGAATTTTTAACAACACATATGTAAAACTGATGACCATACATTGCACCTGAAAAACTATATTTATTTTTAATATATTTTAATATGTTGCTTAGTTGTATATATATAGTACAAAACATATCAAATATTGATTTTACAATTATTTATAAATAATAAATAGCAACATTTTTCTTCTACATGTTTTGATCATAATTTGCATGTATAAAAACACAGTTGCTTTGCAATATTAAAATTTTTTTTAAATTACTTTGGAGTGAGTTGCCAAATGTTTTTTTATTCTTTTGTTGTTTTTGTTATTTATAATTGTGTGCGTTAAGCTTGTTTTTTAAAAATATTTTTAATTTTCTATTATGTTATATATTTATATATATATATATTTATATATATATATATTCTTCATAGTCTTTTCCACCTTTGCCTGCTCTATATCATAATTTGTGCATCCCTTATGCATTTTTCTCTCATCTCTGTAACTGACATCAGTTTTCTACTAAAAGAAATGGTATATTTAAACTTTATTTAAATAATACAGAATATTTTAATGCCTCTGCACCTTATCAATTGCAATTTATAGTACTAAAACTCAACTTATCAAATTAAAAATTAAAACTAGTCTAAAACAAGTGTACAGAATGTGCAGAATTAAAATGCATTTGATTGAGTTTGCAATTAGCTCCAGTGCAATTATATGCAACCTCTGCAGAAAACAGGGTTTGGTAAACAACATGTGATATTTGTGCAGAGGTTTTTACCTTCTCTCCATCTGAAAACAGAGACACAAGTGCATCTCATCTATACCTTAACGACTGTTCTGGTATGGGAAATCGAGGTCATTTATTTTATGTTACAGTTTGGTAATAGATGCCACATTAAACTGAAGGCGAGTAAGAGTTTCAACTTTGAAAACACACATTACCAAAGAGAGACTAGGAATATTGTTTTTGCGGCTGGAGTACATCCTTTTAAATGATATACATAATGAGTTTATAATATGCATCTGGGCTACCTCCTCTCTACTTTGATGTCTTCCAAATGGCCCGGGTGTCATCAGCAGAACATGTAGGCACTTTCCCGCCTCATTGACTCCCAAATGTATTTTAAATATCATTCCTGGTAACGCAATTATTTAAAACGCTGAACTAAACACTTACTAATGGGGAAAAAGACAGCGACTTCGATAAATTCATTTCTCAAATGGTGGGCATTCGTGTTTCCTTTTTTTTTTTTCCTCTTCTCTCTGAAGCGGAGGAAACTCTGATGAAAACACACACACACACACACAAAACATCAGCAGTAGCAACAGCTACTACCCCGCCAGCTCCCAGCGGACATATTGAATCTTGTTGCGGGGGTGCAGAGGGGGTCTTACATTTGCTGCTGCTGGGATGGTTCTCTGAGGTTTTCTGCAGTGTGGTCAACTGTCTGCTTCATCCCAATGCAGCGAGGGGCTGGACATCAGCGCCAGCTCTGATGAGAGTGAAGTACTTCATTTGTGCAATCATAGGCAATTAGTTCCCTCTGATTATGTGCCTCTTAATGCTGTTTTGAGTACTGTGGCACACGGTAATACAGAAAAAGATTACACCGTAGCCCTCCCAACACCCTGAACACTCATTTAATATACTGAGAACATAATGAAATGTACACAGTAATTACAGTAATATCGTATGCTAATGGATTTGCAATTGGATCTGTTGTTAATTTAAGACAAAGTCAAGGCAAGCGAGGGAAGTATGAGTTTTCGAGGTAACGATAATACAACGAGAGCTTGTGATACAACTTTTTTTGTTTATTATAATAGAGATTTATAAGAAATATAAACTCAGGTCTGGCAGATTAAAATGAGCAATTCATATTTATTGTAAACACTATTGTCCACTATCCACTATTGTCGACTACAGCATATACAAGGGGTCAAAGGTTGCACTGATGACATCATAATGAGACACATACCTGTTTGCTAACTGGCTGACACCATGTGAGCAGAGTTTATTCAAATAAACCTGATGTCATCTTGACTGTGTGGTCCATTGAAGTAGACACCACAGTCTGCCTCACATCACCAGTGCTTATACAGTGCCGGTGATAGCAAATTAACACCATTTCATTCCTATGTATATGTACATGACACGGGCTCAGAATGGCATTCTGTTTGCAAATCCCACACAGCTCTCATCACCGTGCTTGATGCTCGGCTGAGAAGCTAAATGAATTTACAGCGTCCTGAATCAAACACTGGCTCCAAACTATCCTGCAGAAGCGTGATTACTTTTTCCTCCACTATTCCAGCTGGGAGCCCACCACCTATAATGCATTGTATCGGTCTTTGCAGATTACAATTGTTTCTCAATGCACTGATCACCGCACAAATAGCCCTCTGTTTCATCATGACAATTGAGAGGTTCATATTTCAAGCTAATAGTCTTGTATAACTTTAACCATTTATCACAACCTCATTTCATTGCGGCTGCAGTTAATACGCGCTCCCCTGCCAAGTGGAACATTTTCTAATGATGCACTCTCACACGAAAACAAGGCAAGCCGGCCCGGGTTCTGCATCACTCACTAATGCATCCATCCATAATATGTTCATAGCATCCTGCCGAAAGGAGACAGTGATGACTACCAGCATAGGCATGGGGTGAGAGGGGCTACATGCAGACGGGTGCAAGATACAAAACCCATAAATGACCACAATAATGGAGATCAAATCACAGTCACAAAGACCCTATCAAGCTCGTAATAACATCTGAGGATTTCATATCAGTCCCCAAAATACTGGGTGGAAATCTTAAATGGGCTTTTCAACAACAAAACTCTGTGGCTAGATTTACATTTAAGTGCATTATTACAGCGACCCTGCCTTTGCCAAAGGATGTAATAACGGCAGGCTTTACCGCGTTCAAACCTCCACATACATGCACTTTTCTGCGGCCCAGCATACAAACATAAACACCACCATAATTAGAGACAGACCTTGATCAGTTCCTTTATTTTATGCAGATTGGAGTTGTGCAAATGTCGGTGTCATTATCCTGTAATCAAGCACTATTCAGTTGACAGTGGCGTCTCCTGAAAACCTGATTAGTATGCACAACAAGGATTTAATGCATTACCCCCCCACCCCACTTTATAAATAAGTTACATTTAAATGCCAAATAAATAACAGATCTGGTCAGAATTAAATGAGTTGGGGGAGACTGTCCACAAAATGTAATTACAAAGCCAATAAGGTCCTTTTATAATATTGTATTGTTAATGTAATACAGAGGGACACTCCTCAAACTCATGGAGCTGTGATAATAGATACTCATAGTTAAATAGGATAATTATTAAAATAAGATAAAATATGAATATTATAATTAAAAAATATCACAACATAAAATACTAAAATATTTAGACAACATTATCTATAGAATTGTATAATGTCTATATAATTTATTTAATACATGCATTTTATTTAAAGGTCATAAAGAATTAGGTTTCAAGTTTAATTTACATATCTGTCAATTATTTGACATTGAGAGTAAAAACATATATAATATATAATGTATATATACATATATGTATGGATGTATTTATGTATGGACTTCTCTTTGTTACTGGCAGGACTGAGGTAGACATGACGTTTATTGTATTATTAAGGGAATACTACTATAGCAAAAATAATGATGATTCCATTCATGGTATAAATTAAGGACTATCTTATTTAAATTTTTTTCATTGGTCGCTTTTCACAAATGAATGCTCTTCTTCTGTCAGTCTATCACGGTCACCACAAAGCTATAGTCTTTTTTGTCTTTTGCCTCCACACCAAACATCTTTGTCCAACTTGTGTATATTATTCTTATGTATATTCTAATCATTTGTACATTTTTAAAAATGTTTTTCACAGTTGGTTCTGCAACATGTTACGTGTTCGATTCAGAAAAAGCTCCAGTTCATCAGCAGGAGTTAATGAGTCAACAAGTCAACATCACAGCCACCTGTTCACAGCCACACCTGTGTGTGCTGGTGTAAAGACACAGGTGTCTCTGAAGAGGGAGTCACAATGATGAAAGGTTTAAAAAATAAAATAGAGGCATTTCATAGTAAATTCAAATTCAATTCTATTTTTATTATTATTCTCAGTTAATTTACTTAGTTAAGATTTTAAACAACTGTTTGCATATTTTTTAGTATATTTTAGTATTGCATTGATAAAATCTGGTAATTTTATGGTATATGGTTGCACATTTATTTACACCAGCAGAAGCTTGTCCTTACAGAGAATGCTACATTGAATCATTACATTAACACACTCAATAAATATATATTTAAATAATTTAAGGCCATAGCAATAAAATAAAACCCACAAATCTCACTTTGTAGCTGTGCATAGATGCTTGATTTCTAAACTGTTGTATACTTTGTGACTTTTTGTGATGAGTGGCTAAGATTAAGATATTAATAAAAATATTAATTATGGAATATTGTCAAATTTAGATCTGAGAGGTTACCGAGTTATAAGTTAATTGGAAATCAAACATGGTTGTTAAAGTTTGTGCTACTTTTATGAAAAGAGGAATTTTGCGGTTATTCTTCTAATATAGATCCTTAAAATAAATCACACATTTATCATACGGGCAATACCGCCACCTAGTGGTCATCTTTTGCATGGCAACAGACATTAAAACAAAAGAAAAACATTTAGTTTGTGTGCGTTTATTGAAGCCGCTCAAAAAGTCATGCAAAGTTATGGTCCGATTCTCCAGAGGTTCACTTGGAGCTGGTGTACTTAGTGACCGCCTTGGTGCCTTCGGACACGGCGTGTTTCGCCAGCTCTCCGGGCAGCAGCAGTCTCACCGCGGTCTGCACCTCTCTGCTGGTGATGGTGGAGCGCTTGTTATACTGAGCCAGGCGCGATGCCTCCGTGGCAATTCTCTCAAACAGGTCGTTAACGAAGGAGTTCATGATGCTCATGGCCCTGCTGGATATACCCGTGTCAGGGTGGACCTTAAAAAATAAAACAGACAAACACATAGACGGGGGACACAGGAGCAGCAGAGAGCCGTTGACGTCCATCCACACTCACCTGTTTTAATACTTTATAGATGTACATGGCGTAAGTCTCTCTGCGTTTGACTTTCCTTTTGGCCCTTTTGTCACCCGAGCTCTTAACTTTCTTTTTAGACAGATCACCAGTCATACTGCAAACAGGGTTCTAAGTTGATAGAATTAAAGTAAAGATGTGTTTTGTTTTTTGTTTTTTGGGGGGGAGGGGGGTTTTAGGAGTAAATTTCCACCTCTTTGCTCTTTGGACGTCTCTGTTTATGCAACAGAGCTGATTAGTGAGTCATCGGTTTCACCTGTTGCACCTTTGACTCAGACCGGTTGTTGTCATTAGGCTCACGAACAGAAAAAACTGTGAATAACTTGTGCTGCTTTGTTTATACAGATTTTAAACTGTCAGGACAATGTTTTTTTTTTTTGCACCAACTATGTCGCATCTATTGCGGTAAATGTTATTTCGCTCTTTTCACCTTGTTGTGGGCTGTCGTTAAAGTATGTATGTGATCGTAGCCTGATGTTTAAATGTGTAGGGATTTACAAAAAACAAACAAACAAAACAAAGCAACCCTTTAAATTTAGCCCCCTTAAATAGGGCAGTGTTAGGGCTTCTTACCTATCTATTTGAATGTTTATTTAAATAAATTATATGTAGGATCCGTGGCGCTTTGGCCCAGAGGCAATGTCTCTGTCATTGGTGTGGAACCCCAGGGTTCACCTCCTGGGCAAGTTCGAATCCCGGTTAGGGCAGTTGGTACCTTCCAGTGGACTCACCACCCGCAGGAAGGTTTGGTATGGTGCAATGTGATTTGGGTGGCGACTGCTGCCCCCGCGACCCGGTAACGGGTTATTTTTTTTATGTATTTTTATTATATATTGTAGTGCATACATGTATGCATATAATTATTGTCCTGAATTTTAGAACATTAAATTGTCTTTAATTTGCAGTATTGTGCTGTGATAATAAGTTAATAGAGAGATAAGATAATAGATACTTCTGTCCTATGGTACAGCCATTATTAAAAGGCAGGCAGAAAAATCAACAGTGTCAATCCATTCAGGAGTTAGATTTAGTTAAATGTCACAGATAGTTTATTCAGAAATTCAGATTTCATGTGAGAGTACATCCAAACAGTATTTTCTATTTCATCTTTTCCAAAGAGAAAGTGTTATTTCCTAACTAATGGTCTCCTAAATGTAAATGTGAAATGGCCCAGTCTGCTCTCGGTTGACTTGGCAACAGCAGAATTTCCTAACCATCACCGGTACAATGTCAGTATAAAAGTTTTGAGCCAGGATCTTAATGCCATGAGCTAACCAAACAGCTGCGAGCCATCCTCAGCCCAATGAGCACCATCCAAAACATTTGGGTAGTGTTGAGAATTCACTGGACTCCGGGGCATTGGGAATGAGGTTCAAACAGCGTGAAACATTCTCCACTCTCTGGCAGGTTGTTACAGGAAGTCTAGAGTTTGGCGGAGGAAATGCCAGGAGGAAAAATTTCTTGCCTGACTGCATTGTGCTCACAGTAAGTTGTAAGTGGGAGGAGGGAAAACGCCTCAGGGTTGATTTTCTGTGATTGACGTACTGTACTGTTTGCCCGTTAAAATTCAGTTCAGGGAAATCTCATCTGTAGGCTTGACAGTTCTGGGTTTTTAAAGAAAAAAAAATGTTGAAAGACTTCAAGGACTTTAAGAGTCAATGTGTCCTTCTGCAGATAAGCCTATTAGGATGATTTAGATTTGGAAGAAAAATATGGAACACAATTCAATGTCATAGAAATTCACCTGTGGGGGATTTAACTGATGATGGGTAAAATGTAGTTGACATATTTTAAAAAAAGTTTTATCTTGTACATTTTTGCTAATATTTTATATATTAATTAATTTGTTTTGCAAGTTTATGTATGTCGATTATATATACTAACTTTAATATTTTCATTTCTTGTTATGTCATAATGTCTGCATTCAAATGTAACAATATGTGGAGTGACAACATTGCGCCAATTTATGTTGTCCACTAGGTGGTACACTGATCTCAGTTTTATGGGAATGAGTGCAGTTGTTTACGGAACGTATTTCACTGCGGATTCCACAGACACGGTACATGTTGGTTGTCATTTTCAAATCGTCTGTGAAATGTGACTATGCATTAGTGAAAACTGCATGACAGGTAATATGTCCTCACTATATGTCCTCAATATAGGGTCTGCAAACCCTCAGGGGTCCACAGAGGTACTGGAGGAGATTCTATATCGAATATAACGTTTTTCTTTAAATACTACTTTACCCAAAGCCCAGGTGTTTGATAAAAAGATGGATATGACTTGGCTTATATTTTAATTGTTGTAGTGGTGAATGCATTTATACAACAGTGGGCTAAATTTCATATAGAATAACATTTCATACAGTAAACAGTGCATACTGTAGTAATGAGTCCCTGCTCCAACTTTCCCTGGGGTTTAACAAAGTCTCCAGATTCATGAATGGCTAAAATATAAGGGATCTGCATGTTTTTGTTCAATGACGTATTAGTTTTCTTTACACCATACTTGTAGCTGCCTGGGGTCCTCGGTCTGAAAAGCCCCTGATGCAGATGAGGCGACGCTCATTAAAAATGTATACTTTTAGATATGAAGCTGAATAAAAATAGAGACTTGATTCATAACTCCAGCCAGAGAAGTCGGGATCCTCTGGTCTCAGAGGACAAAATATATGTTGGGCATCAGTGCTGTTAATGACCAGCCTAAAAGCATATTATAATACAATATAATATAGTATAATATAATATGTCTACATTAAAATGTTGTTGGAAGTTTAATTCCAAAGCCAACTTGTTTTTTTTTGTACAATATTCCTGTTTTTTAAAGGCCAGTTTATAATTATATGGTCTCTATGTGATTTATATATTCAGTTTTTTTTAACAATGTTGAACATTTTAACATAAATTAATTGCATTTAAATTTTAATGCATTTACCTTTTTTAAATGCCTGATCTTTAGTAAGATAAATGGACAAACGTGGAGGCAGTGAGTGAAGAATGAAGACTGGATGAGGATTGTTAATGATTTTTTTCTCTAATTTCAGGTGGACCTCAACACATGACACAGCCTCTCGTGACTTTGGACTGCATTTAAAAAAACCAAACATGTTAAACAAGTGAGTATTGGTCTTTACAGAAGTTGCCCAACAGATGTTTTCTATAAACCTTGTGAGAATGTTAATCGATGACACAGCAGTGTCACTGTTTGAGTCGATGATGCCAAATCTCCCAGCACCACCGCACACTTCCATTTCCTTCTCCCAGGGTCCTGGACTTTTTCTTTTTCTCACTTTTGTTCTCGATAAGCGTTACAGCAGATATTGAGCAATACATTACAAATGAATAAGCCTTATCTCAGGCAACATTTATGCAAGGTCATTTTGCAGCAACTGCACCGCACGCTGTGAATAGCAGGCATTGGTCGAGTGTATTGTGAAGGCCATCTTCTTCTTTGTTGTCTGGCAGATTTCTCTGGTTTGGGTCCTTTCATCTGTGAAGAGGAAATAGGAAAAAAAAAGAAAAAGAAAAAGGAAAAAAAAAGGTGAGTGTGTGCACATCTGCTCCCTGGCTATGTCAGTATGACAACGGTAAAAAAAGGAAAATGTGGCTCTTCTGTTTATCACAGCTTTTCATATCGACATATTGCTCAAGGCTATGAGGTGTGTGTTGTTTTTTCCTGAAGGATTTGTGGCTTAATAGAGTAAAGCAGAGCTTGATGCCTGAAGTGATTACTCTGCAGACTCATGGGCTTGTTGTATACTTAGGATTATACGCACAAAAACATCAAATACTCCCAACATTTTTACTTCAGTGTTTTTCTTTGTTCAGTTCTCAGCCATTTACTCATTCAAAGTAAAATGAGTAAGAAAATTGTTCAAGCTAAAGGCCAAACACACAGGACGGTATTTAGTTTTATTATTATTTTCAATGTGGCTTACAAAAATAAATTAGAAACATCAGAAGATTCTTTGTCCATGTGCAAAGTCTGGTGCGGGGGTCAATTACGGCACAGAAATGGTTGACCCTGAACTTAATTTCTAATGTTCATATTTAATGGACAACCATGAAGTGAAGACGTTTTTTCTTTTTTGCCTTGTGAAAAACAGTGATTTGTCGTTACATTGTTATGCTGACAGGTGAGGTGAACACCACTGATTATCCCTACAGTGGCAGCTGTCAGGGAGTGGGCTGTATAAGGCAACAAGTGGAGATTTTATTGTCAAAATTGATGTGTTAGATGCTGAAAAATGGTTCAAGCGTAAGAATTTGAGTGAGTTTGATCAGGCATGATGGTTATTGACTGCGTCAAAGCATCTTCAAATCTGTGGTTTCAGGCTGCAATCGGTCTGCTGCTCTCTATCAAAAGTGATCCAAAGAAAAGATGAGAGGGTTTGTGGTAGAAACTTCAATTCAGGCAGGTGGTTGTGATGATAAGGCAGATCAGTGTGTGTTTCAAGACTAGTTCTACTGTATTAGCCCATAAGGCTAACATTTAACTTTTTGGGACAACTTTTAGCTGGGTGCCACCATAACAATGTGAATTAAGAAAGAACCTTTTTTTTTGGGATGATAACATTTATGATAAGACAATGTAGAAATGTATTTAACTGTAGTCTCAGACATTTCTCTACAGAGCAGTTATCGCTTAGACTGAAGCAAAACATTGACCAACTCATATTCTCATAATAAATAGACACATGGAGTGAAACTTCTGTGGGAACTTGTATTTACTGTTGCAGTGCAGTTTTGCAAATGCTGTTGCTTAACATGGGTCAGCAAGTGTGTATTTAAACATAGCTACATGAATAACATCATAGGTCATGTTTTCAAGAACTGACCATTTTTTAGAATGGCTGTTGCAGGAGAAGTGTCAATAAGTGTTAAGGACGTCTATGTCACTAATCTACTGCACTCTCTTGTCACTGACCTGTACGTGATGTCAATATGAGTATGCATAGCAGCAGACAGTTTCTTTTTTTCTGTTAGTGTGTCCTGATAGCCTTATTGAGGGTGGATTTTGAGACATGATCCTGTGATTGTTTTATGTGGAAATGTATCATTTATTTTCATTTTCATCGCAAACCCAAATACTTAAATAATATTTTATGGAAACTTAGTATAATAATAAATGACCTTGTAGCTCTGGCTGGTTTAGGAGGCATGAGTCTACAGAAACATGTTGTCTTTTTATATTATCTGTGAACGAACACTTGTTTACTTGGCCCATGTCTATAAA